GTCGATGTAGGTAGCGGCCCAGTTGGACTCAACGAAGAGGCGATCCGGGGCACAACGGAAGAACCAAATGCGCCGATGATCCCGGTCCACCCCAATAGGAGTGCAACGGAGGGCGATACGAGCCTCGACAGTACGCAGATCATGCGCCCGACAAAGCTGGGCGAAAGCGCGCTCTTTCGCCTCCTCTTGAGCCTTGACAGCGCGACGTTCTCGCTCGAGGGCACTCTCCTCTTCCTGTTTCTTTCGCTTCTCTTCGCGTTCCGCGGCGGCGCGGGAGGCCATGATCCTACGCCGTTTGACGATGGAGGCCAGATCATCTGCGATGCGACAACACACAAGGAAGCGATAAAGGTGCTTATAAGAATGGCGGAAAATCGATTTGAAACAAAGCATATACGCTCACAATGTTTTGGGCGAGAGCAGAGGACTGGTAAGGTTACGGGGTACACACAGGTTGTGCTGCCTAAATGCGACAGGCCTTCTTAGCTATCCAAAAAGCAAATCTCCAATAGTATAACATAAGGGATGATGTGGTCGTCGACAGCTTACTTTCTGGAAAGATGATGACGTGTATAATGACGATGATGATGATGATGGATTAGCAAAATCGTTCCACGATGTGCTATCCGATGCTGCTCGCACGACAAAAACGCTCGCATTTTGATTGACTATATCGTTGGAAGTGTTTACTTCTGAGTAGGTGTCACTGTAATTGCCACAGGAAGTTAACATCAAGTGAAACAATAGAATAAGGTTGGTGTAATACGAACTCGGTGAAGGCTCTGTCGGGGTGGAACTGGGAAGTACGGGTGGGGAACCAACTCAATCTCCGTCGGTAAGTATAGCACCTACAGACAAGTGTATCCACGTAACTGTGCCCCAGAGTCAACGTCAAGTCAGGAGCTTACAAAGGCGATGCGCAAGAAAACTGTACGAAGGTTAGACAATTGTGGGATGGGTGCCTAATGGTCTACGGCCTCCCTAAAAATAGACGGAAAAAACTGCACAGAACGTACAAGGGGTGCTGGCTAGGACATAATCCGCTAGTGTGTACGTTCATCGCAGTTAGGCAGGCAGCAACCACATACACACACAACCTAATAAATCCCCTACTACTTAAAAATAATCAGTAGGCGCCTTGGCAGCTTATCTGTCACCTCGACTGGTGGCGGCTTGCAAAAGAAGTCGTTGCTCTGGATGCCAGCCCTGTCCTCTGCATATTAATAACATTCAAGACAGTGGAGGATGAGCCGCGCTATATCACAGTTAGATATCAGTCATGGCGGTCCGCTGCCATCGCCCATGGCTCAGTGACATAAGTCCCAGACTCGCAAGAGTAAGGGCGTGGGTTCGAATCCGGCAGGATTCGGCGGGTGAGCGCTACTGACGAGTCCCAATAGGATGAAACGGCCAACTAGCGTTTTCCTGAATGTGTGGTGGCTGTCTGCTTGTGTCTAACCGAGGAACGTACACAAAACCTAATAAATCCCCTACTACTTACAAATAATCTGCTGGTGTTTGATCATAGCGCCTGTGCGAATAATGCGTGCCCGTCACTACTATCAAGTCGGCGGTTTTACTCAACAAACAATGGAGCACGAGTTGCACACTTGGACACTACAACAGTAGCCGTGTGATGCAAAGTTAACACTACGAAACGTTTCCCAATTCATGGGAAAACATTCCACAACACATTGATATTACAAGATTATGGTTCAGAAGCATTACGTTCTTCCCAAATCCCTATCCGTCTTTATCAATAGCAACACGAAGGAAATGGCTTCGGATGCAAGATATCCTGTTAGTACTAAAAATTGCGTACAAAACGTACTGAACATTCTCCATGGCCAATACCCACCAGCCAAGAAAGGGGCGCGTGATAATAAGTAAACGGAATCCATCCAGATTCGATAACAAGTCGATACGAAAAGGTTTTCCGAATGTGGAACTAGAAGTAACCTCACGAGAATCCGAAGAAAGTCAGAGAATTTGAAAAGTAATCGAGAATATGCAGTGGAAGTTTCAGAGGCACATGTCATGAAAGAGACTTAGACCGGTTAGATAGGCTGATCGGGGTACTACTCGCCGTTTTAAATAGACGATACACACCTGGCAACACGACGATGAATGCAAAGAGAAGAGTTCACTTCTCTAGGCACCCATTGATAAAGTGTATGTGTAGTTCCGAGTGGCGCAGCGTAAGCTCGCATACGACACCAACAAGAGATGGTGCCTCGAGGACACAAGAGTGGACAAAATGCAAAGTAAAACTGATAACAATCCGAAGGAAAAATGGATGGATTTCGGAAATCGATAGTGAGTGAAACGGAAGAGATGAGTAACACACCTTCACACAGGTCTCCGCCTTCACCATCAGTCAAGCCGGTGGGTGTCGCAGGGTCCGGCTTAACGGCCTCCGTGGACACAGGCGTAGATTCCTCCGGTTTTGGCTGAGTTACAACAGCTTTCATCTGTTCCTCCTTCTGCTCCTTTTTCATGCGTTCACGATCGCGACGCGCTTTCGTTTTTCGCTCGAAACACAGTTGAGCGCGATGGTGACACACCCGAATGAATTCGTCAATGAGGTCCAAGTCGAAAAATGACTCAACAACAGATTCCAAAACTCGGAGTCGGTTCTCTGGGCACATCTGGTAGACATCCACTTCGCTTAGTCGATTACACAGCGACTGTGTGGTTGGATTAGGATTCTGATTTGAAAAGAACAACGAAGGTACAGAGTGAGGGAAGCACAGATAGTAACAGGCAAAACATGGACAACCCCTTCCTATTCAGAAAACCTAGAAAGTAATGCGCCAGGCTACCGGTACGTAGACTAAGTAAGGTTCAGTCCTGTTCGCTAGCTTTGATCCGCGCACCGAAGCGCGGTAGATCTAATGACCCTGAAGAGTGTCGCTAAAACTCTACCAATAATACTAACAGTGATAGCAGTACTAGGAATTAAGGGAGACGAGCAGAAAGTAAAATGATTACATCGAGTGACGAAGGCTCCGAAATTCGGGAATGGATGGAGGAGCGTTACTGACTCTGGGACCGCGCGAAATGGCCTATGAGGTGCCCAACGACTGGTGGGGCCAGCCCCGAGGATCCCATCCGTGGAGACATCCAGTTGTGCCAAAGGAGGCGATCGGGTGCAACAAGCACTTAGGATAAGCCGGACGTGCACAGATAGAATGCGATGGACGATGGCAGCGTGGTCTGAAGAAGGAAACTAAAGAATAACAAGTGATTCGGATTTTGCACGTCGTCGACACTGCGTGGGCCACAGGTGGAGAGACGGGCCAATTTGCCACTCGTGTGCATACATACACGGGCAATACAACGATGCGGCCTACTGAGGCTAAAGGGATTGAGAACAAAGAATCCATGCATTGGAAACGCAGACCTGCGAGAGACTAGAGTGTGGGTGCTCAACGATACTGACGGCGGAAGCAAAGCTGCCTGCGGTTTTAACTCTAGAAACAAACTGCGGCCGTCGAGCTTGGCATGGAGGCTAGATGGCGATCTAGGAGCAACTGACAGTATGTGATGAGGATAAAGTCATACGGACGAACACTGGTTCGAGTCACGAATCAGTAATCTGGAAGTTAAAGGAAACATTCACATCCACTGTGGCAAATGATGCGTAGAGAACGAACCGAGTGCACAGTGAAATAAAGAGCATCCCACAGCCCATCACCGTCAGCTGCAGTAGTAGTGGGTGGGAGGAGTGCCCAGTATAAGAGTTAAATACACTAGACAAACGGTGAGGATGAAGGCGCCGACAAATTACCAACAGATAGCTATAATGTGAAAATAAGACGGTGTGGGTAAGACAATTTCCTTGTACTCCCCACTGCCCCATGCCTTATCCCACGAATAGCGTAGCATCAGAGGCATGCTAAATAGGCAGTCCGACCATGAGTCTATAAGAAATATATCACTAACCAAGTGAAAAGTCGCATGGACTCCCATCTGGAAGATGAGACGGATAGACAGTAACAAGCTTCGTCATCAGCGATGTTACCTACTGCTCTCGAGTCAATTTTTGAGTTCTCGAACACTGACCCAATCTACGTCCGGCAAAAAAATGCAAGTCCGTCCCCGAAAAGAAATAGAGGGGCACCCAAAGCAGATACCTGAGCTAGTACAACTAGGAAGTGTTGATTCACGCCATACCGTCTTGATTGCGTAGGTCATAGTTGGTGAAGAGAAAGAAGAGTGGAAGATCATCAGCAGTACGCCAGTGCCACGTACCGAAGCTTCCATAGCACGAGGGACCACTGCCAGTCGCATGGGGGCTAGGAATATTGCGAGGTTGTACGCAGATGAACCGGCGACCGTTGGATTGAGCCGATCGGCCAGCACGGTTGGGGAACAATTTAACAGCACTCCGTTTAGTTAGGTTAAATAATCGTGTTCCGGACGCCAAAATGTGGTGGATGTAGTTGACGGGACTCGTGCTGTCACGATAACAATGTTAGAGGCGGAGAGAAGGAGGTTGAACTCAAGGAAATTGGAAACACAAACGAGGAAAACAGAACAAGGCGGAATGTCAACCGGCAGAAGTAAGAAACCGAACAAGGAAGCGACAATGTGTTGATGTCACCCGATACGAGATACGCTTCGTGGTGATGACGATAACAGACCTAGAGGTGCCTAATCTCTTCAAACCGACGAAGCCAGGATTTACTATAGGAGAATGTCCACCGAAGCGGTTCTGTATACACGCCAAAGGTGACGCGGGGTCCATAAAGGGATAGATGGCTTTAGCAATAAGCGAAACCCTTTCGACAGTCACATATCCGGTACTAGTAACGTGACCTAACTAACCACTTTATGTCCAAAGATATCAAGACCCAAAGGTCCATGAGGAGGCAGCGGCCCAGCGATAATACATTGCACTTTTGAAGTACATACCAAATGTGACGAGTCCATAGTTTATCCAAAGTTGAGCTTGCCACCTTACGATGGTTGAACAATACAATACAATATAATTGCTCGTCTAGACCATAGTAGCCATATTCCTCCGGAAAGCACCTCAATACCTGTGTCATATGACTCCACAGGAGAACGGTCAGCGTTACAGTCCAAATTAAAGCTGAACAGACAGTGAAGTGTGAAAACCTTGGCGAATGTTGTCTATTTCCAGAACAGCGTTAGTGA